TACACAGTATTTCATTAACTTTTACAAACCAGGTCAAAGAAATGTGGCCCCTTTTTGTGTGGAGTGCATTCAATAGACTTCATCTGGAGTGCTTTAAAAATTATTCCAAATTCTTGCCTCAACAGGTTGTTGTTGTTATGTGCCGTCAAGTTGCTTGAGACTCATAACGACCCTATGTACAACAGCCCTAAACCCTGCTCTATCCTGTGCCAATCGCACTGCCTCTGACACACCCATCCCGATTAACCCAGTCACTGAATCAATCGCCTCAACAGGTAGTTTTCTTACTTACTTCTTGAACATGGGTTGGCTAGCAGAATGCAGCCCTGCTGTTTCCATTTGTATTGCACCTTGTAAAGCTAAAAATACACAAAAAACCTCATTGCTACTGAATCTAAACTGACTTACAGTTGCCCTTCATGCAGGTTTTTGAGAAGCTGTAAACTGCATAGGAGGAGATTGCTCATCTTTCTCCCAAGGAGCTCTGCTTGGATTGGAACTACCTGAAAGGTGCAGCCTTTGGGATCCTGCCAACAGCACACCAGCCACCAGATCTGAGAATGAGGTAGTTTTATACAACTCAGCTGTTCCTGCTGTAAATGAAGACTAGCAGAACCAACACAGTGGTGCTCACAAGACCAGAGACTACTGGCAGAATGATGGTCAAGCAAATAAATGGTGTTCTAAATTCACTGAGTCTCAAGGGAGTTTTTGTAAGGAGTAATAACAAACATTATTTTAACAAAGACATAGCATTATAGGTAAAGAGTTGCACCATCAACTCAAAGGCATGTGGTTTGAACCACCATGAGAAAGTGGTTAAAAATAGTTACTCCAGGAAGCTCTGGGGATCAATAGAAAGGAACTGCACTACCAATGGGAAAGTACATGGTTCAAATTCATTAGCTGCTCTAAGGGAGAAATCCGCTGGAGAATCAGCTATGCGTTCCAACTTGACAGTATACAACAACAACAACAACAACCAGAAAAGAGAACTTAGAGCTGGGGGGGACTAAAAGGGAATAAAAGCTATATATCTTTTCTCTATCCTTCTGCATTTCTTAAAATTTGATCATGTAAATGCACTGCCTCATTACTGGGAGCCCTGGTGGCCTAGTGGCAAGAAGCTGCACTGCAGTAGGACAGGCAATCTCCTCTCATGTGATTAACTGCCTCTGAGCACCCACCCGAGGGTCTGCTATGGGTCAGTTCCAACTGTACAGTGCACAACAACAGTTAAAATTTTTCATAAGAAGTAATCTCAAAACATTAATATAATGTTTTAACAATCTTACTCAGAAAGCCATTGCTTTATCACAGTAAAAGATGACAACTGGCATGCATGCATAACATTCACAAATTTTTACAAAGCTTAAGGTTATCTACTTAGGGTTTAAAATTTTTAAAAACGTAAGAGGTACTATTAAGTGTCAGGCATTCTAAGATCTTCCAAACCTTCTAAACTGAACTGTTATCACTTTACAAGGAGAAGATGGAGAATCCTAGCAATGAGCCCAAGTTACAAAATTAGTAAATGGTAAGATAAAAAACTTATGTGATTCCAAATATCACGCTCTTTAGGTAAGGATGTAAAAAGTAAAAAGACACAAATAATCCAAATCTAGGATAATCAGCTCCTTATGGAGCAAACAGTAAGAAATATACCCACATCAATTAAAAAAACAGTACATGAATTTTTAAAATACCATATTTACGGACTTACATAATAAGGACTTGAAGAGGGGGAAATTTACAACAAAAATTTTTTTCAATCCTCACTAAGTTGAATGCATCTACTAGCATTAAAACAGTGCCACATAAATGTCTCAATAGCAAACTAAGTAATTTTTATATTACTATTAAAGAAATTCTACGTTTTATTTAGCAAAGTGGTAGGATTTATATTCCTTTACTGAAGAGCTTTTTTACTTTAGGCATATCATACTGTCCCACATCAATTTTTATTTCTATTTTTCTAAAACTACCTTTACTTCCTATTCAACACACATAAACACAAAAATGAAGATGCTTTTTAAGCCTCTACTACTCCCAATCCAAAGGGACATGGTTTGACTCCACCAGCAGATCCACGAGAAAGATGGGCAATCTCTCTTGCTATTTTCTTGCCTCTGAAAACCGACTGAGGGTCAGTTATGGATTGTTCTTGTTATGTGCCATCGAGTCACTTGTGACTCATAGCAACCCTGTGTACAACAGCCCTAAACTCTGCTCTGTCCTGTGCTAATTGCACTGTCTCTGACACACCCATCCCGATTACCCTAGTCACTGAATCAATCCACCTTATAGAGGGCCTTCCCCTACTGCACTGTCCCTCCACCCTCCCAAGCATGAGGACCAGTGTCTCCTTACAACATGTCCAAAGTATGTTAGATGGAGCCTCAGAATCCTTGTCTCCAAGGAGCCACATGGTTTAACCCTTTACAGGATGAATCTGTTTGTTTTCCTAGCAGTCCATGGTACTCTTAATACTCTTCTCCAGCACCACAGCTCAAAGGCATCAATTCTACTCCTATCCTCCCTGGTCATTGTCCAACTCTCTGATGCATAACAAGTGATTGCGAAGACCATGGCCTGTATCAAACACACCTTAGTCTCCAGAGAGACACCATTCCATCCTAATGGTACATACCAGCAACAGCAATGCATGTTACATGTCCCTAGAATAACAGAATCCTTTAAAAATTACACATATGTAACAGAAGAAGGCATTTTTTAAAAAGCATGTATTTTTATCTTCCTTATTAGAAATTTTAGATTGATATGTATTCATAAGAAGGGGAGCTTGCTACACTGATTGCATTTTCGACTAGGAAACCTAAGAGTTAAAGAAGTAGAAGCAACGTAATTTTAAAAGTACTAAGTGAAACAGCTTTAAGAATGGCTCCAGATTCTGAACTTCTATATCTGCTTCATTATCTCTGGAAAAGTCTCAAATTATTGTGATTTCTCTGCTTGTGTGTCTGTGTGACGTCTGACTATCAATTGTCTGACTATCAATTCCTTCATGGCAGGTTTTTTTCATTCCAAACAGCCAACACAACAATGGCACATGGTTGTAACTCAGTCATCCTTTGTGGAATTAAGGGAATATAAAACCACGAGTTATATAAAGCTTACAAACAGAAATCTCCTGGTTTCCACAGGAATAGGGGCACTTTGCTTCCATTTTTAAATCTAATAAATTGGAGCAATGACTGGTCATTTAGATATCATGATGCCATACAGAGAGCCTCATTAAAGAACAAACACAGAAATTGGCTTTCTGAGGCCTATTAGAAATTCTTTCAGAGGACAAGTAAATTTTATCTAATAAAAATGAATTTTTAAATATATAAGGTTTGTGTATGTAAATATGCTGAGCTTCTGTGGCTTGGAGCTTTGAACTCTGGACAGTGGGGCCGAAGGTCACATGAGTCTGTCCTGAAGTAAATGTCACATTTATGTTTGTCATTACTTTACTAGACCCATACACACCACAGCATTTGTAAGCTAAAAATGTATATAAAATACTCTGCATGTAGTTTTCATCTACGAAAATACTTATTACAAATCTAGTCCAGGTAAAACAGTGGGATGTGCTGTGGATAAAGGATGAAAATATGCTCCTTTACAGTTATAGAATTCAGTCTAACAGAAATTTTATATTATTTACACATTTGTATAAACTAGTATGTTTTCTGAACAAATTTCGCTTTTCCTAAATTCCTTACTAAAAAAAGATACTAATCTACATAAAATTTTTTGTAAGTTCTCAATGGGAACTATTTGCACAGGAGACTGCTTGGTCCAAATGGCAGAATACAAAATGGTTCACTCTTTAGTCCAGGACTTGCATATCACATTTTAACCTGGTATGAATGAAAAGTAAATGGTCCAGTATGGAAATGCTGACAGACTACACCACCAGTAGAAGCCAATATAATATGGCACTTACTGGAAAATTAATGAAGTCCCTGGATTTTTATTTATAAAGTGGATATTATTAGTTTTAAATTATTTTCTGCAAGCCAATAGTCAGAATTTAATATGATGATGTGTATAGATTGCACTGATTTTCACTCTTATCCACTGCTTCCAGCCTATGTGCATTTAAACCAAAAAACATTTGATATACACTAACTATAAATTATTTCCTTGGAGATCTCTCAGGCATGAAGAAAAAGCCTCTTAAAATAAATTTAAAATATTATATGCTTGATGGTGTATAACCAAAGGTTTAATCTCATACTAAAGGGGCAGCTACTATGATTCTGCAATAACCCAGCAGACAATAATCAAGACAGCTCCTGTTGTTCTCTCAGTAAAATCTTCGTAAACACAGCATGGATATATTATAATTTGCAATCTGTAAGATCAACAGCTATACCTCATGATAACTCATAATATAAGATTTTATTCACCATTAAGTATTCTCCTGAGAAGCCATAGGAAAGTAAGTTATTTACCAAGCATTCTCCTATTAACTATATAAGTTAACATATTAAAATAACAATTCCTTCTCTCTATAAAATGTAATTCATAAAGCAAGTCCTGAAATGTAATCCATTCATGAGATTTTCAAAATTTTGGAGAATGTATCTGTGCTATAAGTTACACCACTATTTTAAAAACAATGGATTCTAAAGTCTTTTTCTACCACAAATACAGTACTCTCAAAATAGTGCTGTCTGTGATTATTCAATTTCTGTTTTATAAAATTAATCTGATTCCAATTTTTAAAACAAGATATGAAAGAGAAAGAAAAAAACAGGCAGTTACAGTTTTAAAAAAAAATGGAGACAGTGAACTTCAGGAAAACAGAGAACATGTATTTCAGCAAAGGGTGGAAGACAATATAAATTAGCATCAAAGGCCTTCAAAATGGAGATCACAGGAATTTAAGTAAGGGTTACCAAAAAAAGCCATGCAAACTTTATTTAAATATAAATAGATTACCTCATCAGTAGTTCAGAAATGTAATAAAACCATCTTTCACTCACCAATGCTGGATTTTCTCTTGGCAGTTTGTGACCACCTGTCATGAAAACAGATAACTATTCATGAAAAAACAGAGCTTTGCACAGAGCTACAAAATCAGTGTATCAGAAAACTACAACAGTGGCTTTACAGATTTAATAGCATCTCGGTATACATTTTTATTTGTCAAATGCACAGAGATGTGAATGTTAGTTTTTAAGCAGCACACTTTATCATAACACTCTAATGCAGGCTGATAACTGCAGAACAAATTACAGCTTTCTGATTCATACTTTGGTACAAAACCCGCTTCATAACTATTAGGTGACATATGATATGAGATAACTAGTATTTTGTACAATCTACAGACCTGTTTTCAATGTTACATATTTTGCAGAATACACAAATGGCAATTGTTATAAATAATAAGAAACCAATGTAACATCCACGTTTCAAGGTTTTTTATAAAAAAAGAAAATGACAGTAGTGAAAATATTTTATTTTGTCAGTATATCTCCAAATGTTTTCACCTGTAATTTTTTTCTAACGCATTAAAAATGAGCTCAGTGATATTTTTCTACTACATTTTCAAGATGAAATACTTGGGATAAAGATATGCTCTGAACAGCCCATTTGTTACCCAGTGAATTATGATAAAATTTAAAACGCTTCGTAGCTGATTTAAACTTTGTTTATAATACTAAGAGGATGAAATTAAGCATAACAGTTACTTGTTCTCCTAAATGATATCTCAGTAGATTCTCAAAAAAGACCCAGAAAACAATTAAGAGCTTTAACCAACAAAAGGGGGGGGGGCTCTTGAAAGAACATTATTTTCAAAGATTGCTAATCATTTGTTGTGAATCTGTCTATTAATAAACATTTTCAGTAACCTCAAACACTGTAGCACCATTTTAGAGATGAAGAAACTAAGGGATAAAAGCCAAAATGTCTCAGCCATTTCAAACGACAGTTCTGGTTTCTAGCATGAAATAAACTGCTCTCGAGACAAACACTAGCATTGTCTCTCTTTTATGCTCAATATTTTGTGACCCAAAATGCACACACACAAAGAACTTTCAACCTGTCACTAAATTCCTCTATTATAACATTTAATTCCTGAAATAAATGAGCTCCTTTAGGACATTTTAAATACTAAGGCAGCAATCCTGTACCAAAATATATGCTATAATCAGAGACTCAACCATACTATCCATTAACTCAGCATAAAAAGTCCGTTTTAGAATGAAGATCTCTCACTAAGTATCAATCACATAGCAACACTTAATAACAGTGGTAATATATAATGGAGTACTGACTACATCTGGAAGAGCCAGGCTAAAACCACATCAATCCATTTCACTGCTTCTGATTTGGCAGTGATTATAAAACCGGCAAACAGAATTAAATACAAACTGAAAAAGGGGAGAGAAAAAAATCTCCATGAAATCCTTTTTACAAAGTTCCTATTTAACAGGCCCATTAAAAGATGAGACCCAAAAACAGTCAGGATGCTTTCCAATCCCAGTGCTTGTGTTTCCAAGCATGAAGTGAGCCAAAAGCACAGAAAGAAAAGCCCTGCAAACCTAAGAGCAGAATGTTCATTAACCTCTACATGATAATCCTTTCATAGCTGCATATTAACTAGTTACATATTCATAATCATTTACATTATTTAAAGGACCTTCGATGAAATTTTCTAGGCTATATCCATTAGTGATGGTGTTAAAGGTTATAGAAGATAGTCTACTTAATGTTTCCAGGAAGCCTTTTTAATTAGTAAATATGTAAATTTGGCACATATGCTTTTTATGTTTAAAAACAAGTCACTGGTAGACAGCATGCTTACTTGCCATCACCCACCATAGGCCCCACTCTGCCTTAGCCATTTTTCCTCCATTCTCTCACACAAACATTTTCATTTTCCTTCCTAAAATAGTCTCCCAAGGGACAGATATTAAAGGATAGAACAATGAGAACAAAAACCTATTTATTTCATCACTTACAAAGAAAGGTTTACTACCAAACTTCTGCCTTTATATTTACACTCTGTATTCCTGGCAAATAGTTTTTTCAGTAATATTTGGAAACCAATAACGTCAAAAGGTGAATTAGGCACGTGATCAAATTTATGAAATCGCTGTGTGATAGTGACTATGTGATAGTTTCATCTGCTTAGATGGTCTATTGGCACCTAAAAAATATAAAGATCTAAACAGAGCAGTTGTATTTCTAATCAACATTTTATTTTTTTATATTTTTATTTTTCTTCTTTTTCTGAAAATGTTATTTAAAAGTAACAAGCTAATTTCTTTAGCCACCAAGGAAAACCTGGGGGGGGGGGGAAATGCTAAAATTTCTAAGTTGAATTTATTTGAGTTAAAATCATTTTTTTTTAAATTGTGAAGTTAAATAACTCCAAATATTTTTTTTTTTACTTCTGAAGAGAGACTCAGATTAAATCATTTAAATATAAATCCTCATTAGTAGGCCTGGTTCTACAACAAACTCTTGAAAAACAGCATAAAAAAACCCCAAAAAAATTTTAACAATCTTGTCCTCACAAAACCTTTTTTTTAAAAAAGAGCACTATCTACTAACATTAGTTTATTTCTTAAAAGATAAGCCTGTCAATATATATTTATATAATTCATTATCACTCCCAAAAGGGAAAAAAATCTTACTATTTTTATAAAAAGAACTAGTATTAGTAGGCTTTAACAATTAAAATAATTTATCTAATAAATTCTTTAATGCAATAAGACTGCCTTTATAGCCAGACATTAATAAAATATGTACTTACATACTTCAGCCATAAGTTAAAAGTAAGGAAAAAGATCATGAGTTGACTTACAATTTTTAAAACATATTCAGTCAGTCTTTACCATGAGCTCACTAGCTACAAAATCATATGGTATACTTTCTTTACAGCCCAAATCTGTCCTACCCTAGAGTAATTACAACCATGTATATGCAAAGCAATTCATAATGAAAATCAAGTTGTAATAGTTCAATGAGGCAGGATTTAATCTCTTTTTAAGGAAAGAAAAGCTGTATGCAGAAATTAAGTAACTTGTCCAATATTATATAAAGAGATGGTAAGATCTGAAAAAAATCCATTTTAAACCTAGTCTATGTAATCCAACAAAGGAGAAGACGGGCAACCTCCTCCCCTGCTTTACAGACCAGGTCCTCAACAGAGGGTCAGCTATGAGTCGGTTTCCATTTAAAAGCACTGAGAATCCAATCCAAATCCCAAACTAAGTTATCAGGCTGCTTCCAATAATCATGCAACTTACTGAGTCACAAAGAAGAGCAGCTTTTAAGACCTGCCGCTTTTCTTCAAACGTTAGTGCTATTGCTACTTCTCTCCTTTCTCCTCTAAGTCACACTCATACAGAAAACCACACCAATAATTCACCAATTCACACAGAGGCATAAACTTAATCAAGGAGGTGGACAGACTTCTACAAGGAAAACTATGAAGCTCTAATGAACTGAAAAATGGTCCATGTTCATAGCCTGTGGTTGTTGTTTGATGCCATCAAGTCGTAGACGACTCATAGCGACCCTATGAAGACCTAATATTGTGTAGATGCCAGTAATGCCCAAAAAGACCAAAGCAATCCTGACAAAAATCTTGATAGAAATCCCAACAGCCTTCTTTACAAAAACAGAAGAACCAATCCTCTACTTTATGGAGCTCAAGTGGTTTAGTGGTAAAAAGGTACACTATCAACCCAAAAGGCATGCAGCTCGAATCCCTCAGCTTCTCCACAGGCGAAAGATGGGCAAACTCCTCTTATTCAAATACAGGCTCTGAAAATTGTTCCAACTTAAGAGGACTTAACAATTTTAAAGAAAAAGGCTGGAGCATCCCAACAGCCAAAGCAACAGTGAAGAATAGCATAGAAGAACTCACAGTTCTTGATGTTAAGGCAGACTACCACAGCTGCACAACATGTATAGGTAAACAACAACAATTATAGCTATCGTAATCACAACAGTCTGGTACTGGCATAAACAGATATACAGGCAGAGATAAATGGTTCAGAACTGAGAGTCTCTCAGTAAGCCCACATGTCTAATATCAAGCACTTTTTAAGAAGGTGTTAAATCCATTCAAGGGGGATGGAGTGTTGGAGAGTCTCTTCAATAAAACTAGGATAATTGAACTTCTACATGCTAAAAAATGAAATTGATCCATGCCTTACACTATACATACACAACACACACATTTAAGATGAATTTTTAAAAATAAATCTGCAAACTGTACAAATAAAATTCTCAGAAGAAAAAGCAAGGGAAATGATATCAGACACATCACCTTTTAACATAAATGGGATCCCATAAAAGACTTTAGCAAAGAAGTAAAAAGGCAAGATACCATATTTTCAGAGGCCACATATCCAGAAAGATTCCAAAATACATATAAACTTGCAAAAGGATGACAAGTAGGCTCTCTAGTGGCTTAGTGGCAAGAAGCTGAGCTGCAATCCCAAAGACATGTGGTTCAAAGCCACCAGCTGCTCCGTAGGAGAAGGATGGGCAATCTCCTCCTGTGCAATTAAATGCCTCTGAAAACCTGGTGGAGGGTTAGCTATGAGTCAGTTCCAACACTACAGTACACAACAACAAGATGACAAGTAATAAAATGGGAAGAGTCATTTCACTGAGGACATTAAAATAGCCACCGCCACCAAATACATGAAAAGATGTTCAATGTTATCAGACATGCAAAGCAAAACCACAATGAGATACCACATTCCCAGGAGGACTGGCGAGTGTTTTATTCTGTTGTATGTAATGGGTAGGAGTCAAAGCCAAAAGCAAAAGAAGTCTTGGTGGCTAACTGCTTTATGTTTGGGCTGTTAACCAATCAGGTTGTTGGTCTGAATCTACCAAGCACTCTGCTGGAGCAGAGTGAAGCAATCTGTTTCCAATAAGATTTACAGGTTATGAAACCTGAAAGAAATCAGCGCTGAGGTAGGACAGACTTGGCAGGTGTGAGATTTCTGACTAAAAGGTTACCTGTTCAAATTTACTAGATGTCCAACA